TTGGACTTGTGTGTGACAACCTCGTGCTGATGGAAATTTTTCACCGTAAATGATTCAGGGGTGCTTAGCTGGCTCCAGTCAGAGGAACATGGGACTCCTGACCTCAGGGTCATGAGTTCAAGCCCCATGTTGAGTGTAGAGATCACATACATACATACATATTTTAAAAATTCAAAATTACCTTTGCATAATTGTATAGATTTTTTTTTTTTTTTAAGATTTGTCTTTTTGAGAGAGCACGCGCATTCACAGGAGCGGGTGGGACAGAGGGAGAGGAAGAGGGAGAGAAGCAGACTCCCTGCTTGTCCCTCCCTGCTGAGCGTGGAGCCCAATATGGGCCTTGAACCCACAAACCTGAGATCATGACCTGAGCTGAGACCAAGAGTCTGTTGCTTAACTGACTGAGCCACCCAGGCACCCCTGTAGAGATTTTCTTTTAACCTCAATATAGAGACATAGGAAAGTGAGGCATATATGGTCCCAGTATACAGAAGTGGAAACTTAAGTAACTTACTTGATGGAATTAGAATTTTCAGAAGGTTCCACTCTGAATTTAGCACAATTTCCTGACCATGGTACTAGTTCATGAAAGTGACTGGTGGTACACTGTTGAGGGCTAGTAATATTTTGGTGATTTTAAACAAGACTACATTAAGTATCTTTGAGATGAGCTTGAAACATGAAATAATTGATATAAAGCCAAAAGTTTAATTTATTTTCAACCAAGAATAAAAGTTGAATTTGTTAGCTTTTTCTTTCTTTTTTGATAATGTTGGTCAGAAAATGGAACCAAAATGGAACTGTCAAGTTTTCTAAACAAACGTGTTATACTTAAAAAATTGGCATTTCAAGCAGTTATGACCTGACATTCATTGAATAACTAAAGATACACATAAATTGTGCAGATTATGTGTTGTTAAGTGTGTGCCTTTGATATTTACCCTTTGCTTTCTCTACTTCCTGGCAGAGTAAGTTGAGTGGGTACGGATTCTTAGACCCCAAGAACATCTACCCCCATAAGGCCATAATTTAACCTAACTTTTCTCTAAAGGCTCTTTGTCATACTTAATTGGTCTGGCCAAAAGAGTGGAATGATGAATCAGACAGCTGCCTGCTTAAAATGAATAACAAATTTGAATCTCATTGCTGTGTTACTTTATTCCTTCAGTCAGAAAAGAAATCATTTCAGTAACCCTCCTTGTACTTTAAGATCACCCTTAAAAGGTAATCCCCCTGAGTCTGTGCTTTTGGGAAACGTGGAATTAAAGAGATATTCTTCACCTCTTCAGTTATTTTACTCTTCTCTTTCTGGCTGTGGGATGCATGTACCCTTAGAGTGTATCTGAATACCACATACAGTTCAGAGAAGCTCAATAGTAAGTCCTGCTTTCTGGACAGGAGAGCCTGAGAGTCTTTTATCTTTTTTACAGTTTCCCATTGGAAGACTGTATCTGAGTCATGCGCTAGTTTCCTAAAAACACTAATGATGTAAACCACTGCAGTGGTGATGATCAAGCTTAAGTTAGTGTGTGGGTTTAACATTGGGGAAGTGTTCATTACTGTATCTTCTACCCTCTCTGCACCCTCTGGGCTGCAGGATAGAGAGTGTTTGCTTTTTCTTAATTGTGAATGCATTTAAGTAGCTTTAGGTAAAATTATGCGTGTTGTGAGTTGTGTTTTTCTTTTTCCAGATGGAACACTGTTGGAGGATTGGGGTTAATATTTTAAGCTCTTTACATTTGAGAATGGATGATGAACCTAATTGCCCCAATGCCCTGCTTTTGGATCTCTGTGATTAGAGGCTATGTCATGGTCCTCTGATTATGGAGTGTGTCCTTGTATGACTAGAAGCTAGGCACCTTCCCTCTGACGTTCATGCTCTTGATTGCTTGTTATGTGCTGTTTTATCATTGACAAACATTTCTGTGCTAAATACTGTTTTGCCTGTTGCCTTCGGTTTTAATTTGGGGGCTGAACTGTCCCCAGGAAAGTTTTAAGTTCCTCTAAGAAAATCAGTAAAATTCACACTGAATATTAATGGCATCTAAATATATGTACATCTGTAGGCAGGATGGACGAGATGTTAGCAGGTACCTGTAGGTCATGAGATTACTGATGTTTTGTGCTTTTTCTTCAGACTTTTTGTACATTTCTGAAATAAGATCTTATTAAAGAATGGCAACATTTTTGTCTTGAACAGGTGTCCTTCCAGTTAATTCTCCCATAATCTCTACAAAATAAACTTTAATTAAATGAGGATTCAACCTGCTACATGGGGACACCTTATAAAACATGTAGATATATAGATCATCTCTCTGCCATAATTTAATGTTAAATGCTTTTAAGTGAATGTAAAATTGAAGTTTTTAAGATCAGTATACCAGGGGCACCTGGCTCAGTAGGTTAAAGCCTCTGCCTTCGGCTCAGGTCTTGATCCCAGTGTCCTGGGATCAAGCCCAGGCATCAGGCTCTCTGATCAGCAGGGAACCTGCTTCCCCGCCCTTTCTCTCTGCCTGCCTCTCTGCCTACTTGTGATCTGTCAAATAAATAAATAAAATCTTAAAAAAAAAAAAAAAAGATCAGTATACCAGTAAAAAGTTCGTAGTCACAGAAATTTCATGTTGAAAGGAAACTTCTTTATGTAAACCAGAACTTACATAACCTTAGGAAAGCTGTTACATCCCTGGAGTCACACATCTGCTAGTCAATGTCAGCCTGAATATTAACTCCTTAATGTTCGTTTGGGTTTTTTGAGGTTCCCCCTGAATAGTAAATCTTTATGAGAATTCAGAAGGCTATTTGAGATTTTCTTTTCTTATTTATTTTTTATTTATTTATTTGACAGAGAGAGAGAGAGAGACACGGCGAGAGAGGGAACACAAGCAGGGGGAGAGGCAGAGGGAGAAGCAGGCTCCTTGTGTAGCAGGGAACCCTATGTGGGGCCTGATCCCAGGACCCTGTGGTCATGACCCGAGCCAAAGGGAGACACTTAATGACAGACACCTGGGCGCCCCCTAGCTTTTCTATTTTTTTATTTATTTTTATTTTTATTTTTTAAAGACTTTATTCATCTATTTGACAGATCACAAGTAGGCAGAGAGGCAGTCAGGGGGTAAGGGGAAGCAGGCTCCCCGCCAAGCAGAGAGTCCGACATGGGGCTCCATCCCAGAACCCTAGGATCATGACCTGAGCGGAAGGCAGAGGCTTTAACCCACTGAGCCACCCAGGCACCCCCACTATTTTTTGTCCTGTCATTGTTTGTGTATGTGCATTTATAGTCATCACAGTTATATTAAAAATATTTTGAATTTAATCTTTTTTCTAAAATCATTTCTACATAAAAGACTTTTTTTTAACTTTTAGATATTCTTTTGGTATAAAGGAAGAAGAAATGTCTTTTGTGATTATTTTTAGTACTCTGATTTGCTGTAGTGTAATTTACAACTGCCTCAGATGTTGAGCATTTTGATTATTGATATATACCATTGCAGTGATCATCTTTGTGTATGAGATTTTGGGAAATGTGTTTATTGGGTTATTTCTTTAAGATAAGTGTTTAGGCTTGAGTGATATGAACATCTTTACAAATACTGCTACCAAACACCACTTTCCAAGAGGAAAGCATTTAAGGCAATGAGTATGTGTGCCAAATTTGCCATGATACTGGTATTATTGATTGTTGAGGATTTTTATGGTACTTCAGTACATGTGTAGGCTATCTCTAAGAACATTTCCCAGTGTTCACTCATTGTAGTTTGCTTATGTCTTTTCTGCTTACATATTTTGATCTAACTTTTTGGTTAATTCATATGGAAACATTTTAATCAGTTTACCAGTCTATTTTCCTTTCTTTTTTAAAGATTTTATTTATTCATTTGACAGAAGAGGAGAGAAAGAGAAGAGAGCACAAGTGGGGGGGAGTAGGAGAGGGAGAGGCAGGCTTTCCCTTGAACAGAGACCCCAACATGGGGCTCGATCCCAGGACCCCGGGATCATAACCCAAGCCAAAGACAGACGCTCAGTCTACTGAGCACCCAGGCTCCCTGCTTTCGTCCTTTCTTGATAGTTACCTACAACTGCTCTGTTCTGCAGATCCTTAGTGTTTTCTCCCTGGGGTTAAAAAGATCAAAATGAAATTGAACAATACTGAAAAACAGAATTTCAGCCTTAAAATACTGGCTTTGATATGGACTGGTAACATTTACAGGGAGGAGAACGTAAGCACACCCTAAAGTCATTTTGAGTTTAAGGAAACAAAGACCACCACTTCTCTGTGGTATTCCAGTAACACAAGTGGAGGGATAAGTGTATCTATGGCTTTATTGACTGTAATTCACATACTCAGTATGACTGACATCTCATGTCTGTACCTACCCCTTTTGAGCCTAATGAATACATGATTTGTTTTGAAATAGTCAAATTCAAACTGCTCCAGATTCTTTCCCACCTCCCTTTTTTTTTTTTTTCCAGCTTATGTCCTAAGCATATATTTGATTTGTGTAGTCCAGAGACAGTGGTTACTAACTGATAGCATTAGGTAGTTACTCACAGAGCTTTTATTAATTTTTTTCTATTTTAGCATAAGCACATATATTTACACAAAATATGGGTTTTTAGAAGGAGGTTTCCAGCATACACTGAAGTTAAGCAGGTATTAACTCATTTTCATGGTCTTAGTTGCCTTGATACTGAACCTGTGTATCCTTCTTGACCCTTATTTGAATATTCTTGTTACCATGTTATTATTTTGCTAAGTTTCTGTTTCATTGAATCATTAAAGCATTTCCCCATCAGTTAGCATTTAATATTAGTCTGTTGAATATTTTGGTCACTTACCCTTCTTCATGCCGAAACAAAAGCCACTTTTCTTACTTTTTTCCCTCAGTCATACATGTTTGGTTTTGCAGGTTGGTTGTCAGAAATTTGGCGTGTTTCATTTAAATGAAGTGTGGATGTTTGTTGGTTAAATGTTATCATGTATTTTTATCTTTCTTCTTTAGATCGAGTCTGTTTCTCAGCCACTGGAAAACCATGGTGCCTCTGGTCATCCTTCAGAGTCATTATCTACCAAATCATGTGGAGCATTGAGACCTGTCAATGGAGTTATTAACACGTAAGTTTTAGGTCTTCTACTTCCTATGTATAGTAGCCTTGTAAAAGATGAACTGGGGCTCTTAGTTATCCCTAGCTTGGACTAACCCTGGTTTAAAGACAAAAACCTTACTGCTTAATAGTATTGTGCATGCTTCTTACTGTATCAGGTCTATTTTAATTAGCATGCTTAATGTATTTCCCTTTTACTTACTGTAACCTAAAATTAACTAACCATGGGGAAAAATACAAGGTCCTACTTTTGTGAGTCATGGTTGGTCTTAGTCTTGGTAGACTTCTTGAGAAGTGTTTACATAAACTCTTTTATGTAAGCTAGGTTTGTAAATCTGGATTGTATGAAAGGTGAAGGATATGTACCCATCCCTAAAAGTTGAATTTTACAGAACTGATTCTGAGGCAGCTCATTAACATTTGCAAGATTAATAATTTTCTTACCAGTTGCAATTTTCTCGAATTTCTTTATTTGCGTTTCTTTTGTAGAAGAGAGCTTAAACACTTGGAACCTGAGATGGTCACTTACTGACTTGCACTTTTCAGACATGATGTTATTGTCCACCAGGAATCTTAAAACTAAGCATAGATGCTGCACACACACATTAAGTGACATGCATCTGCTTTAGATACTTGTGTCTGTGAACATGTGTAAGCAGAGGGGGTTGAACCAGTATTAGAGGCTTTGTTTCCTTGTTTTCTGAGAAGTGAATATTCTTCCTTCCCCTTGTATAGTCTTCAGCCTATCTTGGCAGACCACATTCCAGGTGACATCTCTGATGCTGAAGAACAGTTACAAAAAAAGCAACGACTCAATCTAGTTTCTTCATCAACCGATGGCACCTGTGTGGCAGCCCGAACACGTCCTGTGCTGAGCTGTAAGAAACGAAGGCTTGTCCGACCCAACAGCATCGTTCCTCTTTCCAGGAAGGTCAGTACCAGTGAGACTTGGTCATTGTTAAATGGTGAGCCACAGGCTCAGATAGAATTATTAGTCTCCTGCCAACTTCGGTTCATTTAACTAGTGTTTTCCAAACTTGGCGAACCACCCAAGTTTCCTGGGGAGCTTGAGAAAATACTGAGTTCCTGACACCTGTTTCCTAGAGATTCTGATTTGGTTGTTCTGAAGTTGGGCCTGGGACTCTTGTTTTCAGAAAACCAAAAAACTCCCAGGTGGCTCTTTAGTCAGTTTTGGAAATCACTGACGTGAGACTTTTAATAGAAATGGGAGAAAAGAAGTTTAAGTGCTGCCATCAGCACTTTGAAGGAAGGTGATGTGCTTCCCACTTGTTCTGTTACCACTGAAAATGGTGATGTGGCATGCTTTCCTTACGAATAAGAATCTCAATTAAAATGTTTAAATTGATGTAACTAAATAATGTTTGTCTTCACAGAGAAAATGGAGATAAATTCACGAGTGCAGGAAAGTTTTGATTGCTCCCTCTTCAAGTAACAGAGTTGGATTTATTCCAAAACTAATGAAAATAATACTTCAGTAAAATTAATACCATGCAGTAATTAAAAGCATTAACTTTGAAGAGGATAAACCTGGGTTTGAATCATGGCACTGCCACATGGTAGTTTCGTGATTCAGAGCATGTTAACAGCCCCCAGCTCCCCTCCCAAACCCTTTCTTCCCTGCAAGCCTCAGAAACCTCATAGGGTTGTTTGAAATTTAATGAAGTGCGTGTGACTTGCTTATGTGGGGGGTGTGGCTGATAAGTTACTGGTACAAAGCGGCTGTTACTGTTAGGACTTTTGTTATTGTTCACTCGTTCACTCATTCAACAAATACTTATTGAGCTCCTACAGTGAGCTAGGTCTGTTCTGTGCCATGGGAATACAACACTAAACAAAAACAGTTAGAAATGTTTGTGCTCCTGAAATACTCTAGTGGGTAGAGACAGAAAATAAAACAATAAATTAAGTATAATGGTATGTCCTATAGTGTTAAGTACTGTGGAGAAAAATGCAGCAGATGAAGGGAATAGGGACTGCTGGGGAGCTCAGATGGAATTAAGCCTTGAGGCAGTCTAAGGATGAGGGAGAGACTGGGAAGGAGTGAAGAGTGAAGTAGAAGGAAAACGAAGAAAGTGAGACACATACTTGGAAGGTAAATGAGTAACATGTCAGAGAGGAAGTGGAGGGTAACGTGTGAGATGCTGCAGCCAGGTCCAGGTCCATGAAGACTGTGAACTGGCTCTTGGGTGTGATGGGGTTGAGGCTGTTGGAGATCTGTGTGAGCAGTTTTGCTAATGGGAGAAGAGCGAAATTCTGCTTGGATTGGGTTCAGGAGAGGATGGGAGTTAAGGAATTGAGGGAATTGTTTAGGGTAACACTTTGTAAGAATGCTTCTGTAAAGGAGAGCAGAGAAATAGCTCATTTGAAGGGAAATCTTTCTTATGATAGAGCTTTTACATTATATTTGCTGATAAGAAAACTGCTGACAAGAGGGGAGAGAATTATTGGAACCGTTAATATTTGGACAGTGGATTTTCAGTGTTTGGCAGATGTTATAGTATGTAGTTGGACTGCAGAACTTTGCCATGATTTTTTTGTTATTGTTTTGTTTGTTTTTGAGGAAAGCAATGTAAGTTAAAAATAACTATCAGGTTGTGCCATTTTTCTCTTGTCTATTCCTCAGAATTTCTGAATTACAAAGTACCAGAAAAGAAGAAAAAGGGTATTTGGCAGGTTTCTCATATTGACATTTTGAGTCTCAATTTTTTTATTAATAGTCCTATAGATACAAATTATTTTCTTAAAGGTTGAAGTACTGATTTTGGGAAAGCAAGAAAACAATATATTACTGTCAAATGAAAGAAAGTTTTTGATCATGACTCTGCTCTTAACAAAAACAAAAAACCTCCTGGGGAAATAGTGTCCTTCCTCTGTTTTGGCCGTTTGCTAGTCTCACTGTGTCATGACATCTAGGGGTTTTATCAAAATTTTCTGTGGTGTAGAGTGGCCTGGATTCTTTCCAACCTGTGAACTAGTACACATTCCTTGTTGCTCTTCACAGTAGATTCTTCTGGTCTGTGCCTAAAATCTAATGTACTTTTGAAGGCACTTATATAACATACCGAAGACCCCGATTCCACTGCGGTTTCTGAAACACAGTCACCCTGACATGGAAAGTAAGCTACATGGAAGATAAGACAAAAGAAATGTTGAGTTTGGGGAAATAATCCATTTGCTGGTTGTAGCAGAAATCCTGGAGTTCTGACAGTGTTGGAGGCAAAGACCATTTTGTCTCTCTTGGTTGCTCTCTGTTTATTCTTGCTCAGAGCTACTTGCCTTTTATCATCTTGTGGTGCTGGACTTGCCCCGCAGATTGACTCAGTACTTTGCCAGGTGCCCACTGTGTTCCAGGTATTCTCCAGGCTTCATTGGCGAACCCAGGCCTTGCCTTCGTGGAGCTCACTTTCCAAAGACAGAGCCTGCGTAGCAAAGAAGTTCTCAGATAAACTATTTTCTGATGTTGGTAAATGGCATTGAGTTCACACTCAATAATAGGATTTGCTTCTAAGTTTTTTTTTTGTTTTTTTTTTTTTTAAAGAGTCTTAATAATAGGAACTACATGTTTCTGGATTGACTCAAATTACCTTTGTTATTACCCCTCCTACCACATAACCAAGAAAGGTGGTTACTGGTTTATCTACAAGTATGGAATATGAAAAACAAATGTTTAATGTCATTGTTACTGGCTTACCTACACATTTTGCAGTAGCTCTGCTTTACTGTAGATCTAGATATAAAACTCACTTTAGGGAACTTGCTCAGTTTTATAGGACAGTTATCTTAGCGGAATGACAGCTGGAATTTTATTCCATCAAGTTTTACCAGCACTTCTGAAATTATAATGTATCTTACAGTTGAGATGTACTGGGGTGTCTAGGTGTCTCAGTTGGTTAAGCATTTGCCTTTGGCTCAGGTTTATGATCTCAGGGCCCTGGGACTGAGCCCCAACATCAGGCTCCCTGCTTCGTGGGGAGCTCGCTTTTCCCCCTCCACCCCACCCCACTTGTGCTCTCTCTCTGTCTCTCTCCCTCTCAAATAAATAAAAATCTTTTTAAAAATGAAGCGATCGAGAGGTACTTTTAGTGTAGTAGCACATTTCTTCTGGTCCTAAAAGGTTGTTTTTATGTCATTAGTATCTTAAATTGAGTGACTACAACGAAGGGGGTTCAGTAGGTTAAACTTGTTGGAAATAAATAGGAATGGGGCCTATCAGTAAATAATAAAAGGCTTTGAATGCCCAAACTGTTGAATTGGGTTTTATCATCTAGATTTTAGAGAATTTTAGTTTTATAAGCTATTTTCATTTTATTTTTTTAAAGATTTATTTATTTATTTATTTGACAGAGATCACAAGTAGGCAGAGAGGCAGGCAGAGAAGGGTGGGGGGAAGCAGGCTCCCTGCTGAGCAGAGAGCCCAGTTCGGGGCTCGATTCCAGGACCCTGAGATCATGACCTGAGCCTAAGGCAGAGGCTTAACCCAGTAAGCCACCCAGGCGCCCCTATAAGCTATTTTTAAAAGATAAAGTGTGCAGGTAGTTTATATTTGGAATAGATTGGGCATAAAAGATGCTGGAGTCAGAAAGACAGACCAGTAACAATAGTAATCCTAGAGGAAAAAATGGTCTGAAGGCTCCAGAGCTCTTGGGATGCAATAGATTTAAAAACTCTAGTCCTAAGGAAGAATTGCCAGGGTGTCATGAATGTCAGAGTGGGGAGGACTGAGAGCTTTGAGATTGGGAGAGTGGGGTTATCTTCCATGGAAATCAGTAAGGCCTGGGAGACCTGTATCACCATTTTATTGTAATAGTGCAGATTCAGAACAAGTTGCCTGTACTGTCAGGTATTGCGTATTTCATCATTGTTAGGGGCCTGGTTTAGTAGATGCCAGTGGTTAGCTAAGCTGGTGAAGAAACAACTCAAGTGGGAAATTTTTATAACATGTATCATTAATGTTTATTTCCTGCCCTGCTATTCTGTGAGGTAGATATTTACAGATCAATCTAAAACAATAGTTTCTAGAAAACAAAATTTCAAATCAATAAAAGTTTTAAAATAAATGTGGGTCCAATATAGAGTTGCTTTTTAATTTTGTTAGAAAAAGTTATTTCATAAAATATCATCGTACAGATATTTTTAAAAGAAAAAATAACATGCCATGAGATTTTCAGATCGGGCTTAATAGCATTTCTTTTTAATTTCTAAGATCATATAGTTCGTTTTAGTTTCTATTTTCTTATAGAATTTTTCAGAATATAGTTACCATACAGTGGTATACCATACAGTATATAGTTACACAGTTACACAGTATAGTAATACATCACTCAGTGCTCATCACAAGTGCACACTCCTTGATCCCCACCACCTGTTCCACCCAGCCCCCTCCCCTTCCCACTCCCCGGGTAACCATTAGTTTCTTCTCTATAGCTAAGAATGTTTCCTGGTTTGTTTCTCATGCTTTTTTTCCTTCCTTGTTTCTTAAATTCCACATGAGTGAAATCATATGGTATTTGTCTTCTCTGACTTTACTTTATAATCTCTAGCTCCATCCATATCATTGCAGATGGCAAGATTTCTTTTTTATGGCTATTATTCCATGGTGTGTGTATGTGTATCTGTGTGTACACACACACACATACACATCACCTCTTATTTATCCATTCATCTATTAATGGACATTTGAGCTGCTTCTGTAATTTGGCTATTATAAATAATTCTGCTATATAAACATAAGGGGGTAGCATTTCTTATCAGATGATTTGGCAGTGCTCTGGTGTGATTTTGGAATTTTATAGTCTGTGTTGGAAGATAATTACATAGGAGGATTGCCCTGGGTTAATTTTAAAGTCATATTCTGGAGAATTTCCAGTGGTGGTTCACTTCTTCCTCTTGTATCACATTTGAGGATATATA